TGGGGATTTTACTAACATCAAAGCCCCACCCGCCCATACCCAATGGGATTGGGGATTGTCCCATATCCCTTAGTATGAGCGGCAAGTATACACATAATTGCAATCATTATGATTATAATTTAAATAAAGCAATAAGTGATATCTAATGAGTAAGCATCAAATTAATCATTGATCTAAAACTATTTAGCTAAAGATTCTCTAGTAAAAACCAGTTTACCATACATGATGTTGAAATTCATTTAATAAAATTCAAACTTTTGAAAACATTACTCAAGTTGTTGAAATCAAAAGGTCTAGTAAAATCTGAAATCAAAATCAAAATCAAAATCATAATTTCATTAATTCAAAATTTACATGAAATCAAAAATGACTTTATATTAATTATATATCTTCCAATCCTACTAAAAAATTTTCAACAATATCTTCATTTACACAATTCATTGTTTCAATTCTTCTTTCTGAAATAATTTCATTAATATCAGTATTTTTACTTTATAAAAATTGGATCATTTAAATTACAATATCTTCAATTCCTAATATGGGGTCTGTACTAGGAAAATCAAGCTACCAGCTGTTTTTTTTTGTGACTTTTTACTCAACAATAATCTCTAACACAAGAATTTATAAATTGGTGAAAAAACCTAAACCCTGTTTGCATAGTAGAAAATGAGATACAAGGCTTGGAATATTTTCTCTATATATTAAAAATGTGTAACCAAATTTATAAGGGTTGTTTGTTACCAAAATAGATTTTTTGTCCAGTAGCTTGATTTTCCTAGTATAAACCCCATATATCTATATCATTTCACCTAAATTCATAGATAAAATGCAATATAAAGTAGTTCTTCTTTCTATAATATCTTTTTCATGGTAATTAAATTCTTTTTTTGTATAACTAACATAATAAGAATGAATTCTAGCTAAATTTTCAATCATCTTTGTAGATAACCTGTTCCTTTCTTTGTCCACAAACCATTGTAAAATAGAAAATTCATTCAGCACTAGCTGTATGTGAGTAACAGAAAATAATTTGATTGCCAATTTTTGTAAGTGATTGTAATCATTTTCACATGTAGACCACCAATTAATTAGATTATATGAACATTTGAAGAATCAGAAGTTGCCAAAGGATTTACTTCATTCAAAAAACCATCATTTTGATATTTATGTAAATCAATTTCCAATAGGTGCATTTAGATATCTATTTGCTAAATTTTCTTGGATTAACTGTGGGCTTTCTTTTGTTCCATTATCATTACAATATATACAGGTGGGAATTAAAGTTTCTGGTCCAAACTATTTTCTCAAAGCCCAAACTAGTTTGGACAATTTGGGCTTCTCAACATTTTTTATAGGCATGAACATTAAAAAACTATATGAATCAACTTGTTTTAACTTAAACAACTTTAAAATAATTTTGCCCAATAACAAAAAGTAGTTTGGGCTTATAAAAAAATAATTTTTGCCCAAAGTATTTGGGCAATTTCGGCTACTAATAGAAGCAGTTTTGACCAGAAACCTTAGTGGGAACCATGCTTACTTATCTGCATATCTTTTTGTCTCCAAATAATGCCAGGAAGTCTTCCAACACTCTTAGAATTTGGCAAATAAAGACTTTGAGAATCAGAATTTCTTGACATAATTTAAAAGCAATATTTTTTTTTTAATTTTAGAATTTCAAATTTTTGGGTTTTGATAGGGTTGTTAAATGGAGCATAATGTTCTGGCATCAACCCGGGTTATGTATCACCCCATCATGGAGTGGGTTAAGATTTCTAATTTTTTGTACCAACCCAGAGCAAAATATTTTATTATAACCTGGGTTACTATATAATTTTGCTCCAGGTTGCTCCAAATTATTTTAGTAATTTGATTATTAATCAATTAATGTTATTTTGGTGATAAGAATAATAATACAGTGCAGATTATCTATACTCAAAGGTTAAATTTTTTGAAATATTATGTGATCCACACATTGAATTTTAAAAAACCTGCCACCATTCAATTCAGCCTTAAAAAGGGAGTCTATTAATCATAGATTTTTTAAATTTGAAAGTTATGCTCAGAAGTGCAACAATAATTTTCGTGTTACAATTTTTTGAATCTCATGTCCAAATTTGGTAATGATTTTCTTTTAATGTAAATACGTTCGTTAAACTTTTTAGTTGTGTTACCAGAATTAAACGATGACGAAGATAATTTGGCCGAATCCTTTAATTTCGGGTCAAATTAAATTTTATTTCTATTTTTATTTTT